TTCAATAATTGAAGGGTATGAAAAAAGGGGGGGGGGTGTTCTAGATTATAAGAGATTTAAGACATAAATGAGTGGACCTTGTTTGGATTCTGATTCATACAAATCAACTGTAAAAAGGCATTTTGAGACAATGGAGAAATCTGAATATGGACTGGGGACATTAAGAACATAGATGACATTAAGAAATCACTGTGAATTTTCCTAGGTATTGTAGTGGGTTAAATGGTGGCTCCAAAAAAAAGATATGTCCATGTGCTAATCCCAGGAACCTGTAACTATTACCTTATATGGCAAATGATGTGATTAAGTAAAGGATTTCGAGAGGAAGCATTTTCTGTGGATTACCTGGGTGGGCCCTAAATCCAATGACAAGTGTCCTTATAAGAGTAAGTCAGAGAGAGAGATTTGACAGAGAAGATACAGAGAGGAGGAGGAGGCGATATGATCACAGAGGCAGAGATTGGAGTGATGTGACTACAAGCCAAGGAACACCTGGATCTACCAGAAGCTGGACAAGGCAAGGGATGAATTATCCCCCAGTCTTAGGAGAGAATGAGGCTCTGACAACCCCTTGATTTTGCACTTCTGTCTTCCAAAAATGTGAGAGAATAAATTTCTGTTGTTTTAAGCTACCAAGTTTGTGGTAATTGGTTACAGCTGCCACAGGAAACTAATATTTGACATTTGGTTATATAAGAAAATATCCTTATTTATTCATTTTTTTTTTGGCAAGCCTTTTCTCTCCTGGGTGGTGATATGGCTGGGGCTTCACCAGCCTCACTGTGTCTGCCATTTTCAATTTTCAGAGTCTGTTAACCTTTTGGCTAGCAAAAACCGAAAAACCAAACCCGCTGCCATTGAGTTGACTCTGACTCATAGCGACCCTATAGGACAGAGTAGAACTGCCCCATACGGTTTCCAAGGAGTGCCTGGTGGATTCAAACTGCTGACCTTTTGGTTAGCAGCCACAGCTGAGTGCGTTAACCATTTGCACCACTCAGGGTCTCCTAGTTAGTATATCAATATTGGTTCATTAATTGTAACAAATGTATTCTAATGTAAGATGTTAATAATAGGGGAAATGGGGGGGGGCAGGGAACTACAGCAAGAGAAACCCAGCAAACCCACTTTAACCAACTAATCAGAGGTAACTTCACCAACAGTGGGAACCAGCAACATCATGAGCCTCCAAGTACAATATATACTGAGAAGATACATCATCACTTACATAGTGTTTCTGCCAAAATGGTGTAACCTGAATCAAATCACAAAGAAACATCAGATATACTCAGATTGGCCTGTGTTCTTCAAAATGGTAATCAATGTCATAAAGACAAAGGCTGAGGAACGTTTCTAGATTAGAGACTGAAAAGACGACAACCAAATGCAAAGCATGATTTCGGGTTGGATCCTGGACTAGGAGGAAAAATTGGTATAAAGAACATTACTGGAACAACTGACAATATTTGAACATCAGATTTAACACTGATAAATACTTTTAATTAATCAACTAGCTATATATTAGTTAATAGTATTGGATCAATGTTAAATTTCCTGATTTTGTTCATTATGCTGTGGTTAAATAAAAGGATATCCTTGATCTTAAGAAATATACACTTAACTATTTACAGGTAATGGAGCATGATATTGTTATCAGTTGCAGTTGACCTTATGTATAACAGAACAAAATCTTGACTGGTCCTGTGCCATCTTCATGATCATTGGTATGTTTGAGTCCATTGTTGTGACTATTATGTCAATGCATCTCATTGAAGGTTTCCTTCATTTTCACTGACCCTTTACCAAACATGATGTTCTTTTTTAGTGGTTGGCCTTTTCTGATGACATGTCCAAAGTAAGTGAGCCAAAGTCTCACCATCATCCCTTCTAAGGAGCATTCTGGTTGTGATGATATTCACTGCTTATTCTCAAATGGTTCAGAAAAATATGCTAAAGCTAATGTGGCAAAATGTTAACAACTAGTGAATCTGAATGAAGGGTATATAGGAAATTTTTGTACTGTTCCTGCAACCTTTCTGTAAGTTCAAAACAGAATTAAAAAATATATATACAGCCATGAAAATTTTAAAAAGAAATAGATAATGTGGTGAATGTTGATAACAGAATCTGTGGGATGGGGAATGAGGGTTATTATGCCATTCTGTCTTCTTTTATGTGTTTGAAAACTTTAACCAACCTCCCCGCCACAAAAAAAAGTTAAAATGCACACACGCTCATCACAAAAAACACATGCATGAAACCTCAAACCTTCCAGACATTCTCTGAATTCCAGGCACTACTCAGACCATTCACTCCAAACCCCCACAGCACTTTGTATATATAAAATTGTTCTAAAAATAGTTTTTTTTTAAAAAAATACCCCATCATTAGAAGCCCAGCAAACTCACATTAACCAAGCGATCAGAGGTAACTTTACCAATAGTGGAAAACAGCAAAATCATGAGCTGTTCTCAGCACCTCCTATATGTAAAAACTGTCACAGTAATTGCTAGGTGTAAAATTGTGTGTGTGGTATTTCAAATTCTTTAGATTGTATGCTCCCAAGGATGGGGCCATGTTTTCTTACTACACATCCTCATAAATTGATTAACTATTTGTTTACCCAACAGATAGCCTATAAAGTTTGGATGTAAATTTAATTGCTCTACATTGAATTGTTTGTGTACTACATAAGCATGACATTTCAAACTAATTATCTGATGAATTGTTTGAAAAAACGAATAAGGTAATTTTTCCTATTTTTTAGGAAAAAAATTCTAGATTTTAAAATACATTGTATTTGCCTAAATCCATACAGGTCTTTACACATAATAGAGTCAAAAAGTGTAGTAGACTGAGTGCTTGGATCCCAATCAGGGAATAAACACTGGAAATTTGAGCAAAGGAATTTTCAACAGAAGAAGTGCTTCTAACTCCGTTATCTATTTAGTTTAAAGGAAATATGAAGGATACTGAAACAGAATAAATGGCATCTCAATATATAATCAGTCAAATTCAATGTGGGGAAATTCTACTGGGCAAATGGTCCAGTTTCTTCAACAAATAAAATAGCACCCTCCCCAAAAAAGAGGAAACTGTTTTATATAAAAAGTCTTAAGAGCGTATCAACCAAATGTAATGAGTGGACCTTGTCTAGAACTGCATTTAAACAAACTAACCATAAGTCAAGGAATACTTAAGTCAGTATAAATACTTAATGTTAAGCAACTATTGTTAATTTTTGTCAAGTGTTGTACAGTACCGTGGTTTTGTTTTTAAAAAAAGTTCTGATATGTTAGACATAGGTACCACACTACTTATGGGAAACATTATATGTTGCCTGGGCTTTGTTTTAAAATACTCAGATAAACAGAAGAATAGATAGGGTAGCTGTTGCAGTGGTGATGGGGTTCACTGAACTAATTTAATCTCTCTACATTTGTGTATGTTTGGAAACTTCCAACAATCAGACTTTGCAAACTTAACATGTTCAAAACTAAACTCTAATTTTCCCATCCATCACTGCTCCACCAGTAGCCTTTCCCATTTCAGTTAATGGCAATTCCATCCTTCCAATCGCTTAGGCTGAAAACCCTGGAGAGATCCTTGAATGCTTTTCTTTGTTCCTACCCCCACATCCAGTCAGTCAGGAAATCCTATTTGTTCCATGTACAAAACATGACTACTTTTCACCACTCCAGTCCAGGATACCATTATCTCTCACAATAGCCGCCTACTGGCTCACTCTGCCTCACTCCCCCCAGTCCATTTGCAATACCAAAATGAAGAGTGATCCTTTTAGAATGGAAGGTAGATCACATCACTCCTTTGTTCAAAACCCTCCAATATATCCCTACTCCTTTCAAAGAAAAACCCCAAGTCTTCACCAAGGTCTACAAGGCCTACATCTGGCCCCCACTACCTTCCTGTCCTCATTTCTTATTAGTCTCCCTTTTTCTCTCTGCTCCAGCCAAACTGGCCTCTCTCATACACACTGGGTATGCTTCCATCTCAGGGCCTTTGAGTGACCACTGTCTCTGCCTAGGCTTTTCCCTCAGATGGTTGCATTTCCTCCCTCACCTCCTTCTTTACTCAAATGTCACCTTCCCAGTGAGACCTACCCAGACCATCCAACTCAGCACTCCTCATCCTCCTTCCCCTATTTTTCTCCAGAGCTTTTTATCACCTTCCTACATATTATATATAATTCACTTCTTTTAATAAGTTCACTGCCTCTCCCACCAGAATGGAAACTCTGTAACAGACTGTTTCTAATTTTGTTCACTGCTTTATCTCCAGTGCCTAGAATAGTATATGGCACATAGAAAACACTCAATACACGTTGAACTGAACTGAAATGATCTGGATAGGAAGAAACTATGGTTGCCCCTAGAAATATGTTATTTTTGTTAAAGTAAAAACATAAGACAGTGGGCAATGAAGATGAGGACTAAATAAAATTCCTTATAGAAATAAGGGCACGTTACTCATCTTTCATTTCTAAAACACTTGGAATTTAGTAAAGGACAGAAAGGAATCTCCCCCATTTTATGGACGGAGAAATTAGGACCCTGGGAAGCTTGTCCCAAGCCATCCAGTGAGTTAAGGTTTAAGCTTTGCAGTATGTTTCCAGTTGGATTAAGATTCTAACTAATGGGCCTTTCATATACTCCTTTCTGGTAAATTGTACAACTTTCATAAATAGCTGCCCTTCTACAGCATGGACTGCCAAAAGAACAAACAAGTCTCTCTTGGAAGAAGTATAACCAGAATGCTCCTTAGAAGCAAGGATGGCGAGACTATGTCTCATATACTTGGGACATGTTACCAGGAGGGCTCAGTCCCTGGAGAAGGACATCATGCTTGGTGAAGTGGAGGGTCAGCGAAAAAGATGAAGACCCTCAACAAGATGGATTGACACAGTGGCTGCAACAATGGGCTCAAGCATAACAACAACTGTAAGGATGGCGCAGGACTGGGCAGTGTTTTGTTCTGCTGTAGACAGGGTTGCTATGAGTCGGAACCAACTCAACGGACATAACAACCATAGCAGCTGAGATTCCCTATACGTTGAAACTCCACTAAATATTAAAACTAGTGACTAGGCCTGCGATCTCAAAGCAACCCTATTTACCTGTTTAATCTTACCCTTTCCTACTTCAACTCCACTGGCCTTGGATTAGAAGTAGGTGACCACATGTAGCTAATCTGGGATGGAAGAATGCTGGAAGGTAGGAAAAGGCATAAATAACTCCCAAACCAGGACCTCATAAGAACCATGATGGACACCAGTGCTTCAAACACCACCCAGAAGCTAAAAGAGAGGCTGAGCCTTCCAACCCCTTACTCTGGCAACTCCAAATAGGTTGAGGAATATTTTTTATTAAAAGAATTTATAAACAGAACTTAAAAAAAGATACATTCCCCAACTCCACCCATGGATGGGAATGTGGGCTAAGGGATGGGGTCCTCCTCAACAACAGGGACTGGTGGCATTTATCCCAATAGCCTACAGCTTAAACAGGCTCTGTCTTCATCACTGTCCTGGGGTCAGTGAACCCAAAGTAAGAACTTGCTGGGAGGATTACAGAAGCTCCAGAAAGGAAGAGATCTCTCAGGTAGATGGTATTTCCCTAAGGTCCAGGAGGCAAGTTCCTGTGGCTAAAGGCACATTATTGGGAGAAAAGACCCCCAGATGTAGAGAAGGAAGGAATCGTCTCTGGTGCCAACAGCAGTGAAGTTTACTGGTTGAAATAATGCTGAATCTGGGGGAAGGAGTTTTAAGCATAAATCTCTTCTAGTTTCTCATTCTCAGTTGAGTTGGCAACCTGTGTAAATCTCTTTTTTAGACTCTTTAGCTCTTGATTTGAGTTGGTGGCTTGTGTAGTCAAAAAAGGAAGAGTTGGCAATGGTAGGGCAAGGAAGGTTGGAGGCTTGGACCCCAGGAATCTGGAATCACGTGCTGTGGGTTGGCCTCAGGAGGTGAATGAGTTTCCTGCAGTGTTTGGCAGAGGCAGGCCTGGGACTGCTGCCATTGTGTGGCAGTAACTGATTCCCCAGGGAGAGCAAGGCTAATTTCTCACTGGCACCCAGGGACACCAGCACCTGTGGGATAGAGAACAGATGATGAAACAGGACATGAGGTTCAGAAATGATAGTGTCTGAGATGCAGAGAAATTCCAATTGGCCCAGCAATTCTGACTCTAGGAAATGAAGAAAAAAGAAAAGGGCTCTTGGGGACTCACAATAAGATTGAGTGGGAGAAGAGGTCTACTTACATTCTCTTTGGTTAAACCATGAAGCCAAAGCACCAAGGGACCCATACACTTGCCCCCGGGAACAGGTAATGAATGTAGCAGTGAGAGTAGGCCAAAAGGTCTGATCCTCAGCCGTGGATCCAGATCAATGGGTCCGAACCTCATTATTGCCAAGGATCCCTTTTATTTCCCCATGTGGACTGCCAGAAATTCCAATACTGTCATCACCATCTTGACAAAATTTCTGTTCTGCCCTTGGATCCAGACCAGTGGGTCCGAACCTCATTATTGCCAAGGATCCCTTTTATTATTTCCCCATGTGGATTGCCAGAAATTCCGATACTGTCATCACCATCTTGACAAAATTTCTGTTCTGCATGAACCACCGGATGTTACCACATTGAGCTATAATTTGGAGTTTTAGCCTTATCATAAGTGGATGTGTGATTTCCACTGAGCTCTTTATATAGTGAAAATTGAGCAGAAGAGGCAGAGTAAAGTAGTGGTTAAGAGTATGGGGTCTGGACTCAGATTCCTGAGTTCAAAAGTCCAGTCCTAAATACTAGCTTTGTAACTTGGACAAGTTATTAAATTCTTTGTGCCCTAGTTTCCTCACCTTCAAAGTGAGGATAATAAAAGCTCAAACCAGATAATAAATGTAAAATGTTTAGCATGGTGCGGTTCACATGGTTAAGTGCTAAAAAAGATAGTTAACACCTTCATGGCCCTAGGAATGAAGCCACTCTACACCTCAACATCTCCTAGTCTTCCCCATCTCCCTCCCACACAGCCTCTAGAAAAGATCAACAGTGGTCCTTGAGATCCCAGGCATCTCCCAGCCCAAGGAAGCCCTCTTTCAGGTCCCTTCCATTCTCCAGGGAGTGAGATGATAAATGGAAACTGCACCTCTAGGACTCTACTCCTGGGAGGAACACAGCTTGGGTTTCTGGATGTCCCAATTCCTTAAAAACCATCTCAGAGAAATGTTGTGAAATATAGAGGGCTTGATCATCATGGCTCATAAGTCTCCTGGGGTGTACCTGATGGATGCAGGGCTCCTGCCGGAGGCTCCGGAGGGCGATGAGGGCAGCCTCCTTCACATTTGGCTGAGGGTCTCCACATGCCATCTCCAGGAGCCGCTGGGGTACTTGGCACTGTAACAGCTCCTCCCCCAGTCCCTCAGGACCCAAATTGCCCAGAGCTGAAGCAGCATTGCGCCGGATACCAGCCTGAGGATCTCCAAGCAGCTGGGTCATACTAGGCACTGCAGCTGCCAGGGCAGGTCCTAGGGGACCAGCCTGGTAAGCTGCATTGCCCACGGCGAAGCTGGCACTGCGCCGCACAGCAGGGTCCTTGTCTCCAAGCCCCAGCAGCAGAAGGTTGAGCAATCCAGCCTGGCTCTGCAGTGCCCCACGCAGAGCCATGCTGTGTTGGAGCAGGTGTCCCAAGAGCCCATAAGTGCGGGCCCGCACGGAGTTCTCTGGGTGGCCCAGCAGGCTGCGCAGAGGCCGATAAGATTCATCAGAGCCAGCCAGGAGCTCTTGGATAAAAGATAAGTGATTAGGAGACAGTACCCGGGCTGTGTGGGCCAGCAGGGAGAGAAGGTCAGAGGTCAGCAGCGGCTGGTCACCCAGAAGAGCAACTGAGAAGAACGAAACGATGGGGCTAGGAGAGGCAGCCACTGTATTCACAAACTGGCTGAGAGAGGTGGGATCTGTGAGGGCCAAGCGTGTGAGGAGGCTCATGGGCAGCTCAACTTGTGGCAACAGAAGATGGTGGCAGCAGACCTGGGAGAATGCGGGTATAGGAAAAAGGAGTTAAGGGAGAGAAAGAGTAGTACACTGCAACTCGGTAGCTAGAAGGAGCCCAAAAGCTGGGAGACAGAAAAGCCAAGCTATGGTGAGAAAAACCACAGCGAGCTGGCTAATCTGGGCCACTCCTGCCCAATACTCCAAATGAGAAAAAATCTGGAGCCCAAAGAACAGGCCTTTCCAAGTTCACTCCTTGCTCTGTGAGGACTCAGTCTCTCTGCCTTTCAAAAACCCACTGCTTAAAATTGGCAGAGAAGTGATTTCTGGCCACAGAGCTGAGTCTCTAGTGCCCTAGACTAGGCTATCTTCCTCACTGAGCTCCAACAGAATCCAGATAAAGGGCTGATGGGGAAGGAGGCACCAGCCCCAGCTCTGACCATATGCCTTTGTTCAAGTCTGAATACTTTCTCCACTCCCATGCCTAGATCAAGCCAGATGCTCCACTCTTCTAGGGAGCCAAAGAGAGCCCTGGGATGTCAGGAAGTGAATGAGAGTACACAAGGTGGACCATCTTCCTTTCCCACTTTCATGCCTGGTTAGCATCCCAAGTACCTGTAGCAGATGGGCTGCAACTTCTGAGTCCCTGAGGTCAGCCAAGATACCTACAAGGAGGTCAGCATCCACATCCAAGGCAAAGGGGAAACAGAGGAGCTGGCAGACAGAGAGCACCACGGCAGGGAGAAACTCAGACCCGTGGGGCCTAAGGAAGGAAATGTGGAAGGATATACTGGGTCTTGGTCTTGCACTCTTTATACCCTTTATTAATTCTTATCTCCCTCTTTTCAAATTCCCTTCTCCAGCCCCTCTTCCCTAATCTCAGCAACTCTTAGGTTTCCAGCCTAATTCTTATCCCGTTTCTTGCCTCATACCTCAAGCTCTCAGGTATTTCTCTTCTGACTTCCCCTCCCCACCCACCACTGCTGATTCCCTAGATCTTCCGTTCTCTCTCCTCCAGTTCACACTCACGCCTGGCCCAGATGATGCAGGAAGCTGGAGGAAAGCAGATGCTTCAGGGTGGACATGAGGATATTTCCACGCTGCGACAGATGGCTCAGGCATAACTGGGGCTCCTGGGTGAAAGTGGCCACGGCCAGGCTCAGTAGGGCTGCCATGCCTGGAAACACCAAGAATGGGGACTCACTGGAGCAGACAAGGGGCCCAAGTGTTCCTGGTCCCCCATGGTTCCCTCCTATATCCCTGAGCAGTTCCAGTGTAGACTCTGCCACCCCCTCCTCAGGCAGCAAAAGAAGAAATCTCTGTGGGCTAACCCAGCTGTAGGCTGCCTCCTCCCAAAGAGTGATCAATAATACTGGCCCCACAAAGGAGGCCATGGTGATAAAAAGATACCTTGGGGTGAGATTAGCGTCCAGTCTGGCTCTGGGCTTTGTGGACTGGACAGCGACAGATCTTCCTGTGTAGACACCTCCTCGGGTAGCCTCAGGGCCATGGAAAAGCGGTGCCACAAAATGGTCCACATTTCTGAACTAGCGATGTCCCTTATCAGGCTAGTCTTCCCCTGCTGGAGACAAAATTAGAAGAGGGTGCGGTGGGGACACAGAAGGCAGAAGTCAAAATGCCATTTTTCATTCCTGTCCCCAACCTATAAGGAAAGAGAGTCCCAGAAATAATTCTTTCTATTTTCCCACCTAGGTTTTCCCTGTTGTCTTATTTTCCCTTCTTACCACACCTTAATGCCCAGACCTCTCAACCCACGTGCATGTCTGCTAAAAACCGGCAAATTACAGCTTTCGTCCCACAGAATCCCAATGGATGCAGCTGAATGGCTTCCTTCAAAGGGTCCATAGAGATGGCAGGTGGGCCTATTCTAAGGCTATCACAGTAGGTTTGAGAAGAGAGGTGAATGGGAGTTGCTTCTTCATTGCTACTGTCCAGTGGCTCTCCAAAATGCCTAGTTTCTCTCTCTGTCCTTCCCATCCATCCCAGGATGAATCTGTACCTGGGTGAGGAGCTGCAGCAGAAGAATGAGGAGGCCATCATAGAATCCACAGCCACCTGGTGGAGTCAGCCGGACCTGTTGGAGAGAGGCAGGAAGGATGCAGAACACTGAGAGGGATGAGGCAGCCTCACAGGCCTATGCACTCAATTCCTAATCAGGTGAGAAAAATCACTTCCTTGGTCTGGTAGAGTGGGAAGAGTTCAGGACTTAGGAATCTTGGATCCTGCCTATTTGTTCAATGAACAGCTCTGTCCTAAAGACACACACAGTCTGGTAGGGTATGCAGACACAGAAACAAGTACAGTTTAGGAAGATACTTGCTAAATAAGAGGTTAGGGGGCACAGTTGAGAGCACCCAGCTCTGCCTCCAGGAGGTGGGAAACTGATGTGGGAAAAGTTTAAAAGGCAGACAAGAAAGGTGGAGGTAGGAAGAAGAAATTCCAAGTAGATATCATAGCTTATGTAAAAGCAGAACGCATTAAAAACCATAGTGAATTTTACATCCAAAATTAAGAAAGGGCCATAATCAAAACATTAACCCTACAACTGGAACAAGTAGAAAGAGAGCAGCAAAAGAAGCCCTCGGGTGCCAGAAGAAAGGAAATAATAAGAATTAGAGCAGAATTAAATGAAACAGAAAATTGAAAGAATTAACAAGACCAAGAGCTGGTTCTTTGAAAAGATCAACAAAATTGATAAACCATTGGCCAAACTGACAAAAGTAAAACAGGAGAGGAAGCAGATAACCCGTATAAGAAATGAGATGGGTGATATCACAACAGACCCAACTGAAGTTAAAATAATCATAACAGAATACTATGAAAAACTGTAACAAATTTGAAAACCTAGAGGAAATGGACAAATTTCTAGAAACTCATTACCTACCTAAACTAACACAAACTGAGGTAGAACAACTAAATAAACCCACAGAAAAGGAAGACATTGAAAAGGTAATTAAAAAACTCCCAACAGAAAAAAAGCCCTGGCCTGGATGTCTTCACTGGAGAATTCTACCAAACTTTCAGAGAAGAGTTAACACCACTACTACTAAAGTTATTTCAGAGCATAGAAAAGGATGGAATACTCCCAAACTCATTCTATGAAGCCAGCATAACCCTGACACCAAAACCAGGTAAAGACACCACAGAAAAAGAAAATTACAGACCAATATCCCTCGTGAACATTGACGCAAAAATCCTCAACAAAATTCTAGCCAACAGAATTCAGCAACATATCAAAAAACTTATTCACCATGATCAAGTGGGATTTATACCAGGTATGCGGGGATGGTTCAACATTAGAAAAACAATCAGTATAATCCATAACATAAATAAAACAAAAGACAAGAACCACATGATCTTATCAATCGATGCAGAAAAGGCATTTGACAAAGTCCAACACCCATTCATGATAAAAACTCTCAACAAAATAGGAATAGAAAGGAAATTCCTCAGTATAATTAAGGGCATTTATACAAAGCCAACAGCCAACCTCATTTTAAATGGAGAGACTTTGAAAGCATTCCCCTTGAGAACGGGAACCAGACAAGGATACCCTTTATCACCACTCTTATTTAACATTGTGCTGGAGGTCCTAGCCAGAGCAATTAGGCTAGAAAAAGAAATAACAGGCATCCAGATTGGTAGGGAAGAAGTAAAACTATCTCTATTTGCAGATCATATGATCTTATACACAGAAAACCCCAAAGAATCCACAAGAAAACTGCTGGAACTAATAGAAGATTTCAGCAAAGTTTCCGGATACAAGATAAACATACAAAAATCAGTTGGATTCCTTTACACCAACAAACCTCAAAGAGGAAATCACCAAATCAATACCATTTACAATAGCCCCCAAGAAGATAAAATACTTAGGAATAAATCTAACCAGAAACGTAAAAAACCGATACAATGAAAACTACAAGACACTACTGTGAGAAACCAAAAGAGACCTGCCTAAGTGGAAAAAACATAACTTGCTCATGGATAGGAAGACTCAACATTGTGAAAGCGTCAATTCTACCAAAGCGATATACAGATACAATGCAATCCTGATCCAAATTCTACTGGCATTTTTTAATGAGATGGAGAAACAAATCACCAACTTCATATGGAAAGGGAAGAGGCCCCAAATAAGTAAAGCATTACTCAAGAAGAAGAACAAAGTGGGAGGCCTCACACCACCTAATTTTAGAACCTATTATACCGCCACGATAGTCAAAACAGCCTGGTACTGGTACAACAACAGACACATAGACCAATGGAACAGAATTGAGAATCCAGACATAAATTTATCCACCTATGAGCAGGTGATATTTGACAAAGGCCCAAAGTCCATTAATTGGGGAAAAGACAGTCTGTTTAACGAATAGTGCTGGCATAACTGGATATCCAACTGCAAAAAACTGAAACAAGACCCATACCTCACCACATGCACAAAACTAACTCAAAATGGATCAAAGACTTAAATATAAAATCAAAAACAATAAAGACCATGGAAGAAAAAATAGGGACACGCTAGGAGCCATAATACATCGCATAAACACAATACGAACCATAAGTAACAACGCACAAGCGCCAGAAGAGAGACTAGATAAATGGGAGCTCCTAAAAATCAAACACTTATGCTCATAAAAGACTTCACCAAAAGAGGAAAAAGACAACCTACAGACTGGGAAAAAATTTTTGACTACGACAAATCCGATCAGCGTCTAATCTCTAAAATCTATAAGATACTGTAAAACCTCAAAAACAAAAAAACAAATAACCCAATTAAAAAATGGGCAAAGGATATGAACAGGCACTTCACCAAAGAAGCTATTCAGGCGGCTAACAGACACATGAAGAGATGCTCAGGATCATTAGCCATTAGAGAAATGCAGATCAAAACTACAATGAGATATCTCATCCCAACAAGGCTAGCATTAATCCAAAAAACACAAAATGATAAATGCTGGAGAGGTTGTGGAGAGACTGGAACACTTATACACTGTTAGTGGGAATGTAAAATGGTACAAACACTTTGGAAATCGATTTAGCACTTCCTTGAAAAGCTAGAAATAGAAGTACCATACGATCCAGCTCTCCCACTCCTTGGAATATATCCTAGAGAAGTAAGAGCCGTCACACGAATAGATATGTGCACACCCATGTTCATTGCAGCACAGTTCACAATAGCAAAGAGATGGAAACAACCTAGGTGCCCATCAATTGAAGAATGGATAAACAAATTATGGTATATTCACACAATGGAATACTACACAATGATGAAGCCATGAAACATCTTAGAACATGGAGGAAGCTGGAGATCATTATGCTGAGCGAATTTAGTCAGTCACAGAAAAACAAATATTGTATAAGACCACTATTGTAAGAACTCAAGAAAAGGTTTAAACACAAAAGAAAACATTCTTTTATGGTTACGAGGGTGGGGAGGGAGGGTGAGGGTTATTTACTAACTAGATAGTGAATAAGAATTATCTTAGATGAAGGGAAGGACAGCACACACTACAGGGGAAGTCAGTATAACTGGACTAAACCAAAGCTAAGAAGTCTCCTGAATACAATCAAACACTTTAAAGGACAGAGTAGCAGGGGTAGGGGTCTGGGGACCATGCTTTCTGGGGACATCTAGGTCAACTGGCATAACAAAGCTTATTAAGAAAATGTTCTGCATCCTACTTTGGTGAGTGGCATCTGGGCTCAAAAGCTTGCAAGCAGCCATCTAAGATGCATCAATTGGTCCCAACCACCCGGAGTAAAGGAGAATGAATAACACCAAAGACACAAGGGAAGTATTAGCTCAAGAGACAGAAAGGGCCACATAAACCAGAGACTTCATCAGCCTGAGACCAGAACTACATGGTGCCTGGCTACCACCAATGACCGCCCTGACAGGGAACACAACAGAGTCCTGGATGGAGCAGGAGAAAAGTGGGGTGCAGAACTCAAATTCTAGTAAGAAGACCAGACTTAATGGTCTGACCGAGACTGGAGGAACCCTGGAAAGCATGACTCCTGGATTCTCTATCAGTCCAGAACTAAAACAATTTCTGAGGCCAACTCTTGAGACAGGGACTGGACTGGACTGTGGGACATAAAGTGATACTCGTGAGGAGTGTGCCTTTTAGCTCAGGTAGATACAGGAGACTAAACGGGCAGCTTCCGTCCAGAGGTGAGATAGGAGGGCAGAGAGGGTTAGGAGCTGGTTGAAGGGACATGGGTAATCAGGGGTGGAAAGGAGGAGTGTGCTGTCGCAGTATAGGGAGAGCAATTAGAGTCACATAACAATGCATGTATAAATTTTTGTATGGGGAAAAAATAATAATAATAAAAAAAACTGCAGTGAATTTTGAAAATAGTAACTCTTTTGATATAGCACAATTTTAGACCCCAGAGGTAACAGGAGATAAACTTTGAGTGGCAGGCTAAAGAGTCTGGACTTTATCCCAGAAGGAGGTGGAAGCCACTGAGGCTTTACACATGACTAGCATAAGATCCACATGGGTATGTTATTTTGTCTCTCTTATTCACTACTGTATCCTCAGAGACTAATATAGTGCCTGGAACTCAACATTTATTAAAGTGTTCAATACTATTAGTTGAACAAATGGCCAGATTTGCTTTTAAGAAAGCTCACTCTGGTGGCAGTGGAAAGAATGAACTGGAGAGGAGAGAGCCTAGAGGCAGGAGATCCTTTAGTAGGCAAGTGCTAGAGCCCAAGAGAGCAATGGTATGTACATAAACCAAAGCAGGTCAGTGATGCTGCCATGGAGGTAACAGATTTGAGGAAAAACAGGAAGGTAGAATATAAGAGACTTGGGGAACCATTTAGATGAGGGAATAATGGGGAAGAGGTAGGAGTCTATGATGGCTCCCAGGTTTCTGACTTAGGCCCCTGGATGAATGTTAAAAATAGCAGATGGGTATTATTACATTTGATTTATCTATCTTTCAAGTGTGTTAGAATAACATATGTGAAACTGCTTTAATATAAAGAATTCTACATATATAACAGATGATAATAATTTGAATATGAGGTCTATCCTTCTTTTCACAAAATAAGGGAAACATGGGCTCCAAAGGGTCCAAAAACGAGAAAGGAGAAGGCCTGGAAAAGGAGAAAGAAAGCACAAAGGAGGCTATGTAACGGATGGTGAATTCCTGAAGAGTTAACAAGATGTCAGCCACCTTTTCCTTCTTTAAAGGAGAAAGAATTTGAAAAGTCAAGTCAAGAGGTTAAGCTTTAGGAAGGACTTTAACATTAATGAGCATGATCTCAGGAGGAGGGGATTGAAGGAAGCAGGGAAATCTCACTCCTCAGAGAACTTAGGTCTCTTTTCTCTCACTCTCAGAGGGGCCTATTACATGAGGGCAAAGGATAGGAAGGAAGGACTTCTTTACTCCTTACTCCTTTACCACGCCCTAGCTTATTCTAGGTTTGCTGGCATTTCAGTCTTTGCCCCCTGAATGCTATCCTAGTGTTTGACTTGAAGAAAACGTGTCTGTGCCTTCCCTGGCAGACCTCACCTCTGCAGGGGCAGACAGGGCATGTGTGGCTGCAGCTATCCATTCTGCAGGCTGGAGGTCAAGGGTCACCCCTTGCTGACAAAGTAGTTCCAATAGACAGGCTGCTGCACTCTGTAGAAGAGGTAGAGGAGGAGAAGCAATGTCTGAATCTGAGTGGTATTCAGGACAGGCAGAGAAAGAATTTCTCTGCCCTGGTCCAGATGAATGCCCCTAGAAATAGCTGCAAATGGGATACTGACTCCCCTGCTCCCACAAGGGTTAGATGATAGGGTGAAAAAGGCAGATGCATAAAAGTTGAAAACTCACCACGAGAGAGACAATGTGTGAGTGGGTAAAGAGGGTAGCAGTCTCACTACCTAGCTTCTCCATTCTGGAATAAGGAGATACATCAACAGCATTAAAGGAAGTTGGTAAGTGGCCTTCCCGCACGCTTGCATTGTACTCTTCACCCAGGCTACATGTCTACCTCCAAGGCACAGAGTTGGTGGCAATCTAGGTCTGTCTTTGTAGAGAAACCTTCACTCTCTCTGTCCCAATCCCTTCTAAGGATAGGTTGTGGAGTGCCATTCCCCCATATGCTATGTTAGGGTACGTGGATAGGAGGTTTTGGTGGAGAGACCATACTTTATGACGCACCCAGAAGGCAGATCTTGGAGTCGAAGAACAAGAAGGGAGAGGAGGTAGAGTGTCACTTCAGTAGACTCTTCCCAATCCATTACTTTTACCTACAAAGGAAAGCTAAGCTATCAGGACAACCTCTAGTTGAGATGGTGGGGCCACCGTAAGATCCCCACCTGTGTTGCTGGCCTACCTTGCCCTGAACCAACATCAACATTGACTCCAAGGCCAGGGGCTCTTGCCCTAGAAGATGGCACAGGCGCTCACTGACATGGCAGCAGGAGTAGAGAACCTAAGGAAGCAGGAAGGAGTCTGTTGTGAGACAGAGAAGCCCCTGGGTTCTGAGACTGAAAGGCTCAGTTGAAAGGCAGGCTAGTCTCCCAGAAGATCTAGTATCTGCACTTGGGGGAGAGAGAAGAATTCAGGCTACTTGTGCCTCTTCTTTGAGGTAGAGAGATAGGGGTATTTCTCAGTTTTGGTGTGGGCTGGGTAACAGTGGGACCAACTCATCTGGAAAACTAATTTAAAAACAGAAAGAAGTCCTCCAAGGTGGGCGGTGTTCTCTCAATCGATCTCTCTCTCAATCTCAAACTCTCTCTCTATTTAGAAGCCCCGGGTATTAAAAAGAAATCTGAAGTGCCAAGAGTTATGTGCAGGCAGTACCTTGAGAAGGTGTAGGCACAGGATGGGATGCTGCAGGCCAGAGATGAGGGATGGCCTCAGCTGGCTGCTGTCTTCAGTCAGTTGATTTGCCAAATACCGAGAGACCTACAGGGACATACTTGTAGACTAAATCCTACCCCCAATATTCCAATCCTATTCCTCTCCCATCTCCAACTGACCAAGACGCTCAACTTCTTACCAGCCACTTCCCTGGGTTCACCAGGAACCTCAGACCCCATCCTATTCCCAGTCTTCATAACTAAAAGTAATGCCTACTTTGGCCCAAGTGTGGGCAGGTACAGAGAAAAGTGTTGTTGGCCACTAGGGAATGGGAAAGCTGAATCCTAAGCCCTGGAGAAAGCATCACTGGTGGCTTCAGACCGGCGCCCCTAACCAGCTGGGCAGCTTATCACTGAGCTCTCCCTCACCAACTGGCCAGGGATTCTGTGACTCCAGCTACATCATATTCTTCACGTGGCCCAGATCCAGGGTGGCAGCATGTTTCTAGAGGCACTGAGTAAAAGGAGGCATAACATGCAGGCCCTAAAAGCTTGTCTTTCTGCCTGTCTGAGAAGCTGGGCCAGCCTCCTGGTAGCCAGGATGGGAAGAACAGGAAACTGCTACTCAGACCTGCTCCTTGGCTTCCCAGCAACCAGGCAGCCCCACAGGAGCAGTGCATATGGCTGCCAGTGCAGAGGAAATGGCTCCAGGCAGATCCTCACTCTGCTCCCGCAGCGGCTGGCTCACTTGTGGGGCTCCTATGGAGAAGAGTAAAAATGCAGGGTGGGCTCTGGTTGTTTCTTTCAGATCCCCGTTCACTCTTTCACTTCACATCTACTTATGAGCACCCACTAAATGTCAGGCATTATTCTAGGTGGTGGCAGTAGAAAGAGCAGAGCCAAACCTAAGCAATAAATAAGCCAAGGGAACCTCCCCTTCACACTGGTTACCTGGGGGTGTGTGGAAAGGGAGCTGTGGAACCGTCAAGCCATGAAGGAGCCCATCCAACACAGCCCGCTGCATAGTCAGCAGGCTGGAGTAAAAGGCTGTGGAGATGACCCGGCTGTTCCCGTCCATGGCTTCACACAGAACAGTAAAGCACTGAAGGAGACAAGGCCAGCATTAACATCAGGGCATCAAAAGCTAACTGGGCTTAAGGAGCAAGAATCCCCTGAGAACCTGAGAGAAGAAGATAAAAACCCAGGGGAACAGCTGTCTAATTCTAAGCATTCCTGACACAGAAAATGCATTATAACTGCTTTCACATTTCAAAGACAGGAATTTTAGGTGTCAATTCTTCTATTCTCTGATCAGCTGCTTCCTACATGATGTTTCTCAAAGTGTTATCTGTGGACCATGAGTATAAGAATTCCTGAGGATTCCTGGATCCCCCCAACCCAGTCTTACTGATTCAGAATTTTAGGAGGTGGGATATTTATTCTAAACTCCCTGTGCTACTCATTGCACAAAGACATCTGAGAAGTGCTGGTCAATGGCATGAGTCACTGCTGGAATGTCCATGACTCAGGTTGAACTTGGCCAAAATTTAAGTTAGACATTAAGAGCTTCTTGACTTGAAAGAGTAAGGGATATTAAAATAGGCTGTCAGACTAGAGAAGTCTGAATGGACCGCTAGCTGGAGAAATGTGTAACCCAGGTCTGTGTTCCCAACTAGCAACCTGAACAATGACCAGGCAATTGCTCGCTTCCTTGCCCATGTTCCTCTCTACTCTCCTCTTCTACCATGAGTTAGAACTCTGCTATTTTCTCAATCTTCCATTCTCCTGTCCCTCACCTCCAGAATCCATATAGTTTACTAGTCCTTAGAACAAACAAGGTTGGGAACTACTAGATGATCTGCAAGTCCCTTCAAGAAGAAATACTATTTGTGATCACATTGTGTCTCCCCAACTAGACAATCCCTAGTCCCGTAACAGCAGGAATCTTCTCTTACTCATATGGGGTGTGGCACGTAGTGGATATTCAACAAACATTTGTTGTATTAACTTGTTCTGACTCTATGCAGTCAGAAGGAAGAGAGTCGGAAAAACACAGGGAATAAGTGAGGCAGAAATATGGAGTGGAGCAGATTACCATAAGGCTGTCCCTCCGTAATGTCTGCTCAGAGTCATCTGGTTGGGCCAGCAGTTTCCCCAACAAGTCCAGAAAGAGGTTGGCAGCCTCCTGAAACACCAGCAAGCTGGAAAAAAATGAGCCCGTGGTTTCTTATCTCTCTAATAAAAGCCCAGATGTGGTAACTGGGTCAATTCTGAGCAAGGGGAAGAGTCCTTGCAAAGGAACACATCAGACTGCTCTCTCCTGTCTCCCCCACTAAACACACATCCAGTCTCATACACACACACTTCAAGGCCCTTCTTTGCCATTTTCCCTAGTTATTCATATCTTTACCCTTCCACTTAGGGCCATGGTTGCTACTGATTCTTAGAACCTGAAAGCCTAGGGGCAAAGTTGGAGGTGTCTCAGGGTCTTCAATGGGGCCAGCTGGATTCTGAAGGGTCACTCATCAGATCCCTAAACCTGTTACAAAGCATAGTTTCTCACTTGGCCTCTTTCTAATGGGGAGGGGAAGAAATCAGGTAGAAATCGGAGACAAAATGGCTAACAGAGAAAAACTGCCTTTCATCCTACCTGTCACTTGTCTGGCTCCTCTCCAGGTTGAAGGTGCAGGCAAAGTAGGCCTGAACTGCAGCCATTAGGTCCCTTACAAAGGTCCCATACCAAGATTGCTGCCAGGGAAGAGAGAGAGTAAGGGCAACCAGATGTGGGGGATGGAAACGAAGCGTTAAAAAAAGCAGTAAAAAAGGTATACTGAGACCTAGTTAAGTGAACCAAATAGAAAGGAGCAGGGGGAAGATCCAGTATGGGCAGACAGAGAAGCTCTAGGGATAACAAAGTATCAGCCTATGGGCTATAAAGGAGCCCCAGTGGTGCAGTGGTTAAGCATTTGGCCGCTAACCGAAAGGTCGGCAGTTCAAATCACCAGCTGCTCCTTGGAAACCCTATGGGGTAGTTCGACTCTGTCCTATAGGGTTGCTACAAGTCAGAATCGACTTGATGGCAATGGGTTTGGTTTTTTTTTTGGTTACGGGCTATAAGCAGCCTGGAACTGTGTCGTATTTAGCCTGCACAGAATTCTGGAGTTTGACAGTCTTTGTAGGATTGGTTTTTCAAAACAGCTCAAATTATTTTTCTAAATTCCTTAAAAACACCCAAGATTAATACTTATCAGCAGAGTGCAGCTTTCCGGCTGCCTCAGCTTAGGCCCTGTTAAACATTTCTCTCTTCAGACTCTGTAAGGGCTCCCCTGCCCTCTCAGCTCAGCTGCAGCAGGACACAGCATGGGAAAGTAGAGGTGTGGCTTCAAACACACAGTCTCAATCCCAGCCCTGCCACGTACTGCTTCTGTGACCATTTACAAGTTGGTGACTATACATGAGTTGGATAACCTCGGAATTTCAGTCCCCTGTTCAAAGAAATTGGGTCAATAAAGCCTAGGATTTAGCATTTCAAAGCATAGTGTTCTAAAAATTGGAAACTGCACATAAAAATCTGATTTTTTGGAAAGAATCTTGGAAAACTGGAACACTGGACCTGTAGTCCCACATGGTAACAATGGGCAGGAGCTATGGAGAGGCTGCCCCATTTAGACTGGGTATAGGATCTCTAGTTTATCACATTCTCCAGTCTTCTGTATAGTCACACACATAGTCTACTTCACTGACTGACGTTATTTGTCTGGCTCCAGAAGGCACTGCTGTTGTGTGTTAGATGCCATCGAATCAGTTCTAACTCATAGAGACCCTATGTACAACAGAACAAAACATGGCTCGGTCCTGTGCCACCCTCGTAATTGTTGCAGCCACTGTATCAATCCATCAGGTTGAGGGTCTTCCTCTTTTTCGCTGACCCTCCACTTTACCAAGTATGATGTCCTTCTCCAGGGACTGCTCCCTCCTGATAACATGTCCAAAGTATGTGAGATGAAGTCTCGCCATCCTCGCTTCTAAGACAAATTTAGTCATTCTTTTGGCAGTCCATGGTATATTCAATATTCTTTGCCAACACCATAATTCAAAGGCATCAATTCTTCATTGGTCTTCTCTATTCACTGTCCAGCTTTCATATGCATATGAGGCGACTGAAAACACCATGGCTTGGGTCAGGCGTACTTTAGTCCTCAAAGTGACATCTTTGCTTTTCAACACTTTAAAGAGATATTTTGTGGCAGATTTGCTCAATGTAATGTGTCGTCTGATTTCTTGACTGCTGCTTCCATAGGCGCTGATTGTGGATCCAAGTAAAATGAAATCCTTGACAACTTCAATCTTTTCTCCATTTATCATGATGTTGCTTATTGGTCCAGTTGTGAGGATTTTTGTTTCCTTTATGTTGAGGTGTAATCCACACTGAAGACTGTGGTCTTTGATTCTTACCAGCACGTGCTTCAAGTCCTCTTCACTTTCAGCAAACAAGGTTGTGTCATCTGCATATTATGGGTTATTAATGAGTCTTCCTCCAATTCTGATGCCTCATGCTTCATCTAGTCTAGCCTCTCAGATTATTTGCTCAGCATACACACTGAATAAGCATGGTGAAAGGATACAACCATGACGTACACCTTTCTTGGCTTTAAACCATGCAGTACCCCCTGTTCTGTTCAAACGATTGCCTCTTGATCTATGTACAAGTTCCTCATGAGCACAATTAAGTGTTCTGGAATTCCCATTCTTCACAATGTTATCCATAATTTGTTAAGATCCACACAGTCGAATGCCTTTGTATAGTCAATAAAACACAGGTAATTATCTTTCTGGTATTCTCTGCTTTCAGCCAAGATCCATCCAACATCAGCAATGATATCCTTTGTTCAACATCCTCTTCTGAAACCAGCTTAAAATTCTGGCAGTTCTCTGTCGATGTACTGTGGAAACTGCTTTTGAATGATCTTCAGCAAAATTTTACTTGTGTGTGATATTAATGATACTGTTGATAATTTCTGCATTTTGCTGGATCATCTTTCTTTGGAATGGGTACAAATATGGACCTCTTCCAGTCAGTTGGCCAGGCAGCTGTCTTCCAAATTTCTTGGCATAGACAAGTGAGTCCTTCCAGCACTGCATCCATTTGTTGAAACTGGCCAATTTTTTCAGAAGTAGACTGCCAGGTCCTTCTTCCTAGTCTGTCTTAGTCTGGCAGTTCCACTGAAACCTGTCCACCAAGGGTGACCCTGATGGATCTGAAACAGTAGTGGTGGCAAAGCTTCTAGTATCACAGCAACAAGCAAGCCACCACAGTACAACAGAAACATGGTGGCAAAAGGCATTAGAATTTTCAGTTCTTAGTCTACTAACTAGAGAGAAGAAGAAGGAAAAAAGGGGCATTTGGGCCAAACAGAGATGGCAGTCAGAAGGAGAGAAAGCCAAGAAGAGGACATTTCTGTCAGCCTTGAGAGGCTCCTAGCCTGGTGCTCACCTGCTGGATGCTGGTGCTCTCTTGGCTGTGTTTGAGTAGGCTGAGCAGCAGCCCAGGCAGTCCTGCCTCACGGCAGAAGGAATACATGGCCACAGAGTCACTGCAGCCAGAAAGAAGACTGCTCAGGACCCGGAGTGCAGGGAGGATGTGGGAAGCACCTTCTAGGGTGCCTTTCAGGATCTGGGAAACACGAGGGAAAGAGACAGGGATCAGTATCACTCAAGGTAAAAGAAGGAGAGTCACAGATACCAAGTATCCCCAGCAAGGTGGCAAGGCAGAACAAATCTCATTCCTTTCTTTGAGTGTCTAAAACCCAGAAGAGAAGGAAAACAGGGCAACTGTACCAGGGAAGCGGAATATAAATGGTCAGATTACCTGAACATATAATAACAGTGACCAAGGGGGAGGGCACCTCCCCTCAGGATCTGTCAGACCCAGAGCCATTCCTATCTGCTCTTGCCCTTATATAGTCCTTACCTTTAAAAAAAGTCTAAAACTTAAAAACAATGGAAACAAAACAGTGTTATTCAACACCAGACAGACAAAACAACATTATTTACCTCTAGATCAGGGGTCGACAAACTATGGTCAGCAGGCCAAATCCAGCCTACCAATTTAATTTCTGTATAGCCCACAACCTAAGGATAGTTTTATAGTTTTAAATAGTTGGAGGAAAGAAATTAAAAAAAAAAAAAAAGAATAACATTTATATCAAGTGATTTACAGTATGTCATTCACTGTTCTAAATCTTTGCCGTTTATTTGTGCACTTAATCTCTGTAACAACCCTGTGAAGTAGGTACTATTTACTCATTATATAGATCAAGTAGCTGAAGTGTCTAAAAACAAAACAAAACAAAAAACCAATCCTGTTGTCATGGAGTCTACTCACAGTGACCCTACAGGACAGAGTAAAACTGCCCCATAGGGTTCCCAAGCAGCAGCTGCTGGATTCGAACTGCCGACCTTTTGGTTAGCAGCCATAGCTCTTAACCACTGCACCACCAGGGCTCCAACTGAAGTGTCTAGATAGGTTAAATAAGTACTCAAAGATCACACAGCTAATGAGTAGTTCAGCTGGAATTCAAATCCAGGGAGTCTTACCATCAGAGGCAGAGCTCTTAACCTGCTTCCCCACATGAAAAATTATCCAACACTAAGAGGACAGTGTGTAAATGCCAAAAGAGAGGGACACAGTGCCAAGGAATCTTGATGGAGAAAGGAGAGTCTTCAACAAATGGTGTTAGGACAATTGGCTATTCACACGCAAAAAGAGTAACTTAGACCCTTAATTCATACCATACCCAAAAATTAACTTAAAATGGATCAGAGACCTAAATATAAGAGCTAAAACTATAACACTTTTAGAAGAAAACAGGATAAAATCTTCAAGAGCTTGGGTTTGGAAAAGATCTCTTAGATAAACATCAAAAGCATAATCCATACAAGGAGAAAATGGCGAAATGGACTTCTTCAAAATTCAAAACCCCATTATTCAAATGACACTTATAAGAATAAAAAGATAAACCATAGACTGAGAGAAAATATTTTGAAATCACATATCTGATAAAAACCTTGTATTCAGAACATACAAAGAATTCTTACAATTCAATAAGATGACAACAAACAACCCAATTAAAAAAAATTGGCAAAAGATCTGAATAGATATTTCACCAAAGAAGATATACGAATGGCTTATAAGCAATGAAAAGATGCTCGAGATTACTAGTCATTAGGAAAATGCAAATTGAAACCACAAAAAAGATACTATTTCATACGTTCTAGAAGGCTATAAATAAAAAGACAGACCATAACAAATGTCGGTAAGGTTATGGGAACAGGGACCCTTACACATTGCTAGTGGGAAAGTAAAATGGTACAGCCACTTTGGAAAACAGTTTGGCAGTTTTCTTTCTTAAAATGTTAAATATAGCTGAGGGCTGGGGACCATGGTCTTGGGGGTCATCTAGCTTAACTGGCATAACATAGTTTATAAAGAACATGTTCTACATCCTACTTTGGTGAGTAGCATCCAGGGTCTTAAAAGCTTGTAAGCAGCCATCTAAGATATATCCACTGGTCCCACCTCGTCTGGAGCAAGGGAAAATGAAGAAAACCATAGACACAAGGGAAAGATTAGTCCAAAGGACTAACGGACTATACAACTACCACAGCCTCCACCAGACTGAGCCCAGCACTACTAGATGGTGCCTGGCTACCACTGACTGCTCTGACAGGGATCACAATAGAGGCTCCCAGACAGAGCTGGAGAAAAATGTAGAACAAAATTCAAACCCACAAAAAAAAAGACCAGACTTATTGGTGGACAGAGACTGGGGAAACCCCAAGAGTATGGCCCCTGGACGCCCTTTAAACTCAGTACTGAAGTCACTCCTGAGGTTCACGCTTCAGCCAAAGATTAGACAGGCCCATAAAACAAACAATAATACACGCAGTTCAACCATGTATACGAGACTAAATGGGCACACAAGCCCAGGGGCAAAGACGAGAAGGCAGGAGGAGACAGGAAAGCTGGATGAATGGAAACGGTGAACCCAACGTCGGGAAGGGGAGTGTTGACACATCCTGTGGTTGGCAACTAATGACGCAAAACAATTTGTGTATTAATTGCTTAATGAGAAACTAATTTGCTTTGTACACTTTCACCTAAAGCACAATTTTAAAAAAAGTTAAATAAAAATTTACCATATGACCTAGCAATCGCATTCCTAGGTATCTACGCAAGAGAAATGGAAACATACGGCCACACAAAGACTTGCATGAGAATGCCCATAGTAGCATTAGTCATAAAAAGTGGAAACAATCCAAACATCCATCAACTGGTGAAAGTATAAACAAAATGTGGTCTATCCATATAATAGAATATTACTCAGCAATAAAAAGGAAAAAAGCACTGAACTCCGAGAACATTATCTCACGTGAAAGAAGCCAAACACAAAAGACTGAATACTGTATGATTCTATTTATATGAAATGTTCAGAAAAGGCAAATCTATAGGGACAGAAAGTAGATTAGTGGTTGCCTGGGGCTGTGGGTGGAAATGGTGATCAACTGTAAGCGAGGAAATCTTACTAAGGTAATGAAAATGTTTGAAAACTAGATTATGGTGATGGTTTCACAACTTGGCAAATTCAGTAAAAACCACTGATTTGTATATTGGAAATGAGAAAATTTTATGATATGTAAATTGTACCTCAATAAAGTCATTTAAAGACAGAAGGAGGTGCAACATATTCTTCTGTTGAGTTCCAGGAGGAAAGATCACTGTGTTTCAGAGAAATAAGAGAAGACTCTGTAGGGGGAAACGCTAACTTTGAACCCCAATTAAGCGAAGTGTTATCTCCCTCCAAAAAATTTCATCCTTGTCATTTAAAAAAAAAACCAAACCCATTGCCGTTGAGTCGATTCTGACTCACAGCGATCCTATAGGGCAGAGAAGAACTGTCCCATTGAGTTTCCAAGGAGTGGCTGGTGGATCCGAACTGCCGACCTTTTGGTTAGCAGCTGTAGCACTTAACCACTGGGTCACCAGGGCTCCATTTCTCATGACTAGTAGACCTGTATTACAAAATAATTATATACTCAGTTATTTTAAAATAGCCTCCATTTTCTCCTCTTAGCCTGCACAGCCTAAATATTTACCATCTGCCCTTTACAGAAAAAGTTTGTCGACCCCAGCTCTAGACACTTTTCCCTTTAGAAAAAGAAACCAGAGACCTGCTCTTTCTGTTAATAAGAAAGATTAGCAAACCTCTTGCACCAAGAGAATTGAAAAGATACAAACTATCTTTCTCACTATATTAGTCAATGTCTTTTATGCCTCATCTGTGAAAATAGTTTCCGTTGTCATCCACAGTATCCTTCTGCCAGTCACCTGCCCTCCAGCCTCTTGTAGCTGGCTCTGAATGCGCTGGCAGAAGTCAGGATTGCACAGCAGGGTGAGAGGGGCCTTCAGTTGAATGGGCACAGCCTTGGCGGTCTCTAGCAGGTGTTGCCACTCCTCATCACTGTCTGGCTCCTGAGGCAAAAGGGAGTGAAAGAGGTCAGGAGGAGGCTGTGGAGGTTTAAGGGTGGTAACTCCCAACCTGGGGCTAAAAACCCTGGGGAACCAAGAAACAACTGCAAGAAGCCAATGACTCCTTTAGCACAGATGTATTTTTTTCAGCCACCAGTTAAAAAAGCACAGCTGGTAGTATGTGAGGGGTCTTGGAAAGTCTCTTGGAGAACACTGGCACGTGTGCACAAAGCGATACCTAGGAAGATGTCCACTGCAGCATGGTTTGTAATTTTTTAAAAAAAGGAAACATCATAAAGCCAATCATTAAGGAAATAAGAAATCATGACAGTTCCATAATAGGAAATGCTATAAAGTTGTTTAAAAGATTGTGGCACTAAGAATGCATCACTTATGTAGTATTCCTGTCAAAAATGCATAACCTGAATCTAATCATGAGGAAATAACAATCTGAGAAACAGCCTACAAAATAACTGGTCTGTGCTCCTCAAAACTGTCAATCATAAAAGACAAAGAAAGGCCAGGAACTGCTCCAGATTAAGGAGACTAATGAGAGATAACAACTAAATGCGATGTATAATAGTTGATTAGCTCCTGGACCAGGAAAAAAAAATTTTTTTTTTTTAAATATAAAGAACATTACTGGAGTAATGGCAAAATTTGAATACGGATTGGAGAGGAGATAACAGCATTATACGATGCTAAATTTCTGATTTTTATTACGTACTGTGGTTGTGCAAGTGAATGACCTTGTTTTTAGGAAACACACCCAAAAAACCAAACCCACTGCTGTTGAGTCAATTCCGACTCACAGCAACCCTACAGGACAGAGCAGAGCTGCCCCATAGGGTTTCCAAGGCTGTAAATCTTTACGGAAGCAGACTGCCACATCTTTCCCCTATAGAGCAGCTGGTGGGCTTGAACTGCCAACCTTTCTGTTAGCCGTGAGAGCTTAACCACTAAGCCACCAGGGCTCCTCAGGAAACACACAATGAAGTGTGAAGTGCTACATCTGTAACTTATCCTAAAATAGTTCAGAATCATGGTGTCTATACACACACAAATACATGTATATACCTACATACGTGTGTGTATATATATATATACACACACACACACGTGTACGTGTGTACATATACACGCAAAGATACCATATATACATATATATAGGTATGTAAGTATGTACATACAGACGCACACACACAGAAAATTATAAACAAATGTGGCAAAATGTTAACAAATAGTGAATCTGGTGAAGAGGTATATAGGAATTCTTCGTAGTGTTCTCACAATTTTTCTATAAGTTTGAAATTATTTCAAGAGAAAAACTCAAAACCCTAAATAAGACAAGAGTGAGGTAGAATGACATGATCTGATGCACAAAGATCTCTAAACAGATCATACAGTAAAAGAGACATGGTGCAAAACAAAATAACACATATGGTAAGAACTAAGTAATGTTAAAACAAAATCAAATTATGTACTTCTAAGTGTGAAGAGCCGTGGTGTAAACAATACATATGGCATGAACTCAGTGATGTTAAAACACAAACTACATACATCTAAGCGTACATATACGTGCATGTAAAAGCACAGCAAGTTTGGAAGGAGACAGATGAAACTGATAACAGGGATCACCTCTGAGACTGAGGTAAGGCTCATGGGGGACTTCCATTTTTCCTATGTGTTCCAATTTGTGATAATTAAACGTGTTCAGATACCGTGCAATTAAAGTCTACAAATTAATAATAAGCAATTTTTAAAACCAAAGGGGCTCATACTTAGATTGGGAATCACTGTTCTAGAATAACACCTACCCAGACCCAAAGTCCCATGGCAGAAGGCCAAGAAGAACCCCTAAGGCTCACCTCATTTTCTAGGTCTACGCCATCAATGCTCCTCTGGTCCACCACCTCTGGCCTCAGCTCTGGAAATGCTTGTTCACAGTCCACAGTGATCCAGTGTTCCCTAACAGAGGAAGCAGATGAGTAGGGTGAGCTCCAGACCCGTGAGGCTTAGGATTCATTAACTTGTCCCTCCCCCAGGCCCAGGTTAGGAATGAGGATCAAGCCATATGGGACTGGATAGAGGCGACTGCTTTCTGGGATGTAGCCAGGACAGAGCATCTGACCACTGAGTGCCCTTCTGCTTTGGATCTTTTTCTCAAGTCTTCTTTGGCAGTTTTCACCTGTAGCTCTGAACTCACACAACTGAGACACAGAGAAAGGAAAGTCCCCAAGTTTCCTGATCAACCAGGGGAGTGTCTGGAATTTGAACCCAAGAACCCAGGACCAAGACTCCCAGGGCCCTATCCATATTTAGGCCATGGCTAGTAACAGGGACTATGTTGTATATGCTTTGGTTGGAGTCAAGAATCTGTAAGATATTTCACCCTATAAATCCCTGGGTATATCCTGCTCACCGAGGAGCAGGGGGGGCCTCTCCAGCCCCCCACTCAGCCCAGCTGCTCCTCATTTCTGAGGCCAAGATCCCAGCCAAGAGGCCTGGTTCCTGAGGGGCGGCCCTTAGCCTGGGCAGAGAGGCTGTGTCAGAAGCCACCTTGTTGGTCCTGTCTTCTTGCTCAATGGCAGGTTCTGTGTTCTCATGTTTCTGTGGGAGGTGGGAGGGAAACACTGGATCAGAACTATCTGGTTACCATAGGGCGATATGGATCCTATTCACCGTCCTTTCCCAACCCTAGAAAGTCACTTTCCTTCTCCAATCCGCCCCAGTAACTAGCCTGGTCATGTCTCATAACCTCCTCTGCCCCACACACCTTCTGCTTGGCCTCCTCAGCCATGTGTTTACGTGCCTGACGCAAGATGCGAGATTCATTACCCTTGGGGGCCAGCCGATGTGCCTGTTCGTCCTTTAGGACCTGAAGTTCAGGGGGTAGGCGACTGGTGAATGGGGTGCCCAAATCTAGGGCTGCTGGCTCAGTTATTACTGCAGAGAAGAGGAAGGAAGACATGATAATACTGGAGCTGCAGCCAATGGGGCCACTTGGCCAGAGACAACTTCAGTGTCTCCAGGCTTCTGTGGAAAAAGATCATTTTGGCAAAATGACAAAGAGGAAGGAAGGCTGCAAGAGAAGTGGCAAGGTTAGGTGAAGGGCTAGGAAGAAAATTCAAGCTGGTGGAGGAAGGAAGAGGTGCTGGATCCAGGAGTTTGGCAGGGGTAGACTGGGGAGAGTATTGGGGTAGTGCAAGAACCCTGCGATTCCTGATGACTCACTGGTAACACGGCCAGCAATGAAGGGGTGATGTAAGAGGTCTGGCCAGGACAGACGCTGCCGGGGGTCCTTGGTAAGCAGTCCCTGAAGGAAGTTCTGTGGAGAGAAAATACTCCATCAGTCCTTTCTCCACATCCCTACAGGCTCTCTAACTCGTCAGCAGAACAGGTAAACCAAGACTCCTGAGTCCACTCTTACAGCAGACTAGCTGGTCTTGATCATACGCTTCCTATCCCTTTCCTTAGGCCTCATTTTCTTGGCTACAATTAAGGACAGACTTCACCGCCGCACCTCCTGAGAAGCCCCAATTCCTGTCCATGGACATTTTAGAACCCCAGAAGTAAAAACAGAAACCTCAATGTCACTAGCTTTGTGAAGAAGGAGAAAAACTGGGAGAAAGAGAGGGATGTGTCACCTTCACAATCATCTGTAGAAAGCAAATACTCAAAGGACTCCCAAACTGCTCACTTTGTCCTCCCTTTGATTATGGTTTGTTTGTGGCTGGGTAGAACAGATGCATTTATGGTTAAAAACACACTCATACGCACAAGCCATTGTGTAAAGATGTATTTGGGAGCACTCAAAAACAGAAATCTTTCACCAAGTCTTCAGATGGTGGAGGGGTAGGGAGACTGCCTCTGAAAAGGGTACATCTGTTATGAGGTATCCTTGGGAAAATCCTCAATTGGGCCTGAAACGGGAATAGAAGGTACTAGTAGATTATGACCCCTGTTCTAAAACTACAGCTCTTGCTGAAGATGGCTGCATATCTGCCCAAAGGGAAAATGAATTTTCTTTGTTTAGATTATTTTTGATAATTTAAATCCCCCTAAATACGTTGAGAAGCCTGTTCTTTTTTATCTTAGATAAAACAAAGGAAAGTTGTAGAGACATTTCACTTTTGGAGAAAGTTGTATTCACATTTCATTGAAGGCCCATGATCTTGCCCCAGATAAGAAATTAAAAGAGTCAGAACTCTTCTCCCTCCCCTTAACTAAAGAGGTAGTGGACTCCAGCCTGCCGAAATTTAACTGTACTGAATAGGTACCACCTCTATCATCTGCTCCTAATCACTGAACCACCCTGCCAGGTCACATCATCCAGATGTCTGAAGATTTCTTTTTTCAGGCAGAGGGCTGAAAGCTGTGTGGGTAACATCCAGCTATCATTGGGACATTGTATCTGGTAGAAACTAAATGGAATAAAGAGCAGGTGAAAGGACCGGGATCTTATTTCTGAAATTACCTTTCACTGTGATAAAGTATAGCCTGGCCCAAAGAGGGACTGCCATTCCCAAGCATGGCAAATCTGAGTACATCCTCCCAGAGAAACCTCTGCAGCAGAAAAGTAAGGCTGTTTTGGCCCAGTTTTCGCAGTAGTTCAGTAATTGCAAAGTCTTGCCCCAGCTCTAGAAAAGGATTTTGGAAAAGGGAATGGGGGCAGAGGCAGACATGCTTCCTAAGCAAAAGCAATCTCCCCTTTTATATTCATTACCTTGAAGCAAGGGCTAATGCCGGAGGGCCATCGCACAGGGTCCTTGAGAATGAGGCTGACCAGCTCAAAGATGCTTGTGGTATAGAAGGGAGGGGTGCCTACAGCCAGTTCATACAAGATGCAGCCCACAGACCAGAGGTCCGCCGTGTGGTCATATGGTCGCTCCTCCACCAGCTCTGGAGACATGTAAAGTGGTGTGCCTTTGATGGATGTCAGCACCATTGTGTTGGTGCTCATAGCCCGGGCAAATCTGAAGGAGATAATGGAATGGAAACGGAAATGGAGAAGATAATAAAAACTAGACCTGGTCACTAATCATCTATCATTGCATGAGATATCCCAAACCTGAGCAGAGAAAGCATCTTTGATTAGGTTACAAAAGACCCATTAGGAGTCCCAGGCTCCAGCTCAGGTTCTAAAATGAGGCCCAAGTAAGTCAAGCATGTGGTCTAAGATTCCCTGCAGAGGTAGAAGCATAGATGGATGCTTAGGATCCTCACCCAAAGTCACAGAGTTTGATGCCACCACCCTTGGCAAGGAGGATGTTTTGAGGCTTCATGTCTCGGTGCAGGATTCGGTGGGAGTGCAGATAGTACAGGGCTGACACCAACTGGGCAGCAATGGCCTGAACCTAGGGGCCAAGCAGCCAGGCAGGAAGATGGGAAAAGCAGGATGAAGAAGTCTGCGGGAGAGCCCAAAGACTCCTCCCTAATTCTATGCTGATATGATCTTTTCCTCCTTCCCTTTCTTTCAGTGCTTCACACTGTATCTTCCTTAGTTTTCGCTCCCTTGTTCATTCATTATTTCATTCGTTCATTCATTCATTTATTCATTCAAGGAAAATTTACTGAACGTCACTAGTTGTGTGATCATGGCCAAATTCTCAGATTCGTCATTTATAAAGCAACACTAATGATACGACCCACCTCACAGAATTACTGTGAGGATTCAATGAGTTTAGTACATGTGAAGTAATGTTCAGCATGATGCCTGGCACTTAGTAAGCATTCAGTATACATTATCCTTGCCTTGAGTTGATTCCAACTCATAGCAACCCTACAGTACAGAGTAAAACTACCCTATAGCGTTTCCAAGACTGTAATCTTTATGGAAGCAGACTGACACATCTTTCTTCCATGGAGTGGCTGGTGGGTTCCAACCTCCAACCTTTCCGTTAGCAGCCACTGTGCAATGAGGACTCCTTTCAGTATACATTAGCTGTTATTAAATAAGATAGTTTCTGCTCCCAAAAGACATAATCAGACAAACAAATAAAGAAACTAACAAGATGATTACAAATGATGATGAATGCTCCGAAGGAAATATCGTGCTGTGATAAGGAACACTGAGTGGGGTCTACTTGCTAGAACACACCCTTAGAATGAATATAGCTAGAAAATGTGTTCAACCAAATCCTACTGTTAACCACTACATCCTAGTGGTGAATCCTGCCTGACCACAACCCTTACCCTTACAGTCCTCAAGGGCACCACCATACTGGCCCTTCTTCCCTAAGGTGCCTAAGAATGACACCACCATTACCCATAGCTAATTATATTGAACAGTATGTTAGATACTCTTTTAAACACTTTACATAAATTAACTCATAATATTCTGAATAGCCTCATATGGTAATACTATTATTATCCCCATTTTACAAATGAGGAAATTGAAGTACAAAGAGGTTAAGTAACTGGACCAAGTGCAGCCAGATAGGAAGTGGCAGAGCCAGGCTTTGAACCCAGATATTTTGGCTCCAATGTTCACATACTATACTGTCACACCACGTTGCCTCTATATACATGTGGACTCTTATGTTCCTCTCAGGAGTTTTGAAAATGGAGACTCTCACTGCCCTCAGCTTTCCTACCAGTCCTTGACCTGGAAAGAGATGAGGGGCGGGGAGAAGTCTGAGTCAGGAAGCATACCTGGTCTTCGGGAAGCTTCCCATCATCTTCTAGGATCTGAAAGAGCTCTCCCTCAGCATAGTCCGTTACCACCACTACCTGCAGGGAGAAGCCAATGGTGCTGATGGCTCCAGATTCATGCATTCTGAAGTGGGGAAACTCCTGGGACCCTGTGCTGGGGAGAGGTGATCCAAATCATAAGCACACCTCTTTGTCAGTCTCAAAGCTGTCAAGCATATGTATGATGTTGGGATGTCGCAGACCCCGCATGATTTCAATCTCTCGTTGCAGGTTCCTCAGCTCCTTCTCTGAGCGTCCCAATTTTGGAATGAACTTCAGGGCCACAACCTGTCAGTGGTAAGGTTAAGAGTCAAGACCTAACTACACTACTAGGAAGGGCTAAAACTTCAACATTAGCCTGAGAATTCCAGAACATAGCCTTTAGACTGTTTCAGCAACTCTCATTGTACTGCTGGTCTCCTTCTTCCATTTTCTCTGTGGTACCCTGACCTTTCCCAAGCTTCCCTCACCCCACCGAAGGAAACAGCCTCTGCCAGACAGATCCCTTTGGTTACTTTGAGAGTAAACCTAGAAAAATGGTGGATGCTGGGAGAGGTGTCCTGATCTGGACAAAGGACTCAAGATTCATAGGATTTAAGGGAAGGGGAAAAAAAGAAAAAATGAAGTGAGATAAAGCGAGTTTATGTAGTTTCTCTCTTCCTGCATGCTATAAGTAATAATAACAGTTAATGTTTACTTGTTGCTTACTACATATCAGGCACTATACTAAGTGATTTAGTGTGATTTATCACATTTAATTCTCAAGCCCCATTAATCAGATGTTCCTATCCTCATTGCATAGTGAGGAAACTGAGACAGAGTGGTTAAGTAACTTGTCCATAGTTCTAAAGCTAGAAAGCGGTGCACCTTGGATGTGAATCCAGGTAATCTAACCCCAGAGTTCACACTCCAGAAGATGTATGAAGAAGTCAGTGACTTAAGAGTACAGATCGGTGCTCTTCAAAAGACTTCACCGAAAGAGTAAAAAGAGAACCTACAGGCTGGGAAAAAATTTTTGGACGGTACAAGTCAGACAAAGGTCTAATCTCCATAATCTACAAGAAAATCCAACACCTCTACAACAAAAAGACAAATAATCTTATTAAAAAATGGGCAAAGGAAATGAACAGACACTTCACCAAAGAAGACATTCAAATGGCCAATAGACACATGAGGAAACGCTCACGATCACTAGCCAT